ATAACGAAAATACGCTACATATGCAATATAGAATACTACACAGCCATAAAAAAGGAACAGAATCATGTCATTTGCAGCAACATAGTGAGAGCTGGAGGCCATTATCCTAAGCAAACTAACATAGGAACAGAAAACCAAATGCTACATGTTCTCACTTATAAGTGAGAGCTAAACACTGAGTATACATAGTCTCAAAGAAGGAAGCAACAGACACTGGGGCTTCCTTGTGGATGAAGGGTGGAAAGAGGAACAGGATTTAAAAAAACCACCTATAGGGTACTATGATTATTACCTGGTCGATGAAATAATATGTACCCCAAACTCATGTGACATGAAATTTACCTATAACATAAACCAGTACATGTACCCTTGAACCTAAAATGAAAGTTAAATAATATATACATAAAACAAAATCATGATGGAAGTCAGAAATCAATAGAATGACACCTTAAAAATACTATAAATAAAATGCCTCCCTGAATCATATATCAAACAAAATAATCCTCTAAAAATGTAGCCAAAATAATTAATGACATTTTCAGAAAAACAAAATATGAGAAGTCACCACCAGCCGATCTGAATGAACAGAAAAACTTAGGAAATTCCTCAGGCAGAAGTAAAATAATTTGAGATGGAAACATGTAAATTTAAGCGGTAAAGATAAATATATGGATAAATCTAATCACATACTATTCTTAAAACAACAATAATAGTAATTATTTGTAGTTCTTAAAATATGTGAAAAATTAAAATACACAACAATACAAAATATCAGAGGGGACTAGTAACAAATGTATACTACCAAATCAACATTCGGACTTTTTCTAACCTTTACGCTAGACCTACATGCTATATGTGACTTTTACTGTATTGATGTTGACAGGTTAACCAAATCTTTTGCCATTACATAATAGTGTCTTTTATATTTTCCATTTCTGTTATCAATTTCTTCATTGTCTACTGCCTAATCACTAAGCCAGTGCCACACTTGCAAGACATTTTTCGAAGGATGTATCCCACTTCAAATTACCAATATTTATTAGTTAAGGTAATATCAGAAGCTATAAAATTTAGGCTGGGCTTAGTGGCTCATGCCTGTAATTCTAGTGCTTTGGGAGGCTGAGGCGGGTGGATCACCTGAGGTCAGGAATTCTAGACCAGCTTGGCCAACAAAACCCTGCCTCTACTAAAAAATACAAAAATTAACCAGGCGTGGTGGTGTGTGCCTGTAATCCCAGCTACTTGGAAGGCTAAGGCAGGAGAATCACTTGAACCCAGGAGGTGGAGGTTGCAGCAAGCTGAGATTATACCACTGCACTCCAACCTGGGTGACAGAGTGAGACTCTGCCTCAGAAGGAAGAAAGAAAGAAAGAATGAAAGAAAGAAGGATAGAAAGAAAGAGAGAGAGAAAGAAAGAAAGAAAGAGAGAGAGAAAGAGGGAGGGAGAGAGGGAGGGAAGGAAGGAAAGAAGGAAGGAATGAAGGAAGGCAGGAAGGAAGGAAGGAAGGAAAGAAGGAAAGCTATAAAATGTAGAAAGAAGCAAAGCAAATTTTTTGTTTTTGTTGGTGAGTTTATCTAAATGGAGTTTTGTTTTTTTTCTTTTCTGCTCAAGTAAGTCTAATATAGGTATTCTTGGTTGTTAAGTAGCCTTGTATGCAGTGATTCAGGACCTTAAGCTCTTTTCATTCTGTATCTTCAAGATCCTTTAGGACCTTGAAGTCCTCTGTATTTATCTGGCAGGTCAGAAAAGAGTGAGAATAAAGCAGAGCCGTTGTTTCTCAGCCTGAAGTGGCATACATCACTTTTACTCACATTATGTCTTTTATCAGTGTCTCCACTTAAAAGGTGGCAAAGGATTGGAATTGTAGACTTTGCATAGATAGCTGCTTCCCAATAGAAATGCTTACATTACGGAGAGAAATCATGAATTTTTGTTGGCCAGTTAATCAGTTCTGTCACTAAAGGTTTTTTGAATGGAAAACAAAATTTGTTTTCCAATAAATTGTTTGATACTACAGCATGTTTCTAATATATTGATAGGAAAACAAATTTTGTGAAATGTGATAACAAGTGAAAATAATCCTATAATAGTAAATCTAAATTAAATATATATCCTTGATTATTCATATTAACCATTTAATATAGGTACTACTTTTTGTGTTTTAATTTAGAAGTAGCAATATTTAAAACAATTACATGCATCCATTTGAAGCTCAGGATCACATGAGGTGGCCATGTAGAAACTGCTCAATCTGATAGACTAAGCTTATGCCTTTTATCAGTTTGCTGAGCCCATTTAGATTTAATGAAAATCTCTTACCAGTTGTCTAATTTTTGAAATCTTTATTAAATGACAGCTAAAAAATTGTGCATATAAAGTGCAGGATTATTCACTCAAGGTGAATTCCTATTCAAAAGGCACCTTCCAATATAACATAATAAAAACACCACTAAAACATTTTAAATATCATATGAAATGCTAATTAGATCTAGTAAAATATATATTCATTTTTAATTACAATTCATTTTGTCCTTGGTTATTATTGAATGAGGTAGATGCATTTTTTTTTACTTGGTAGCAAATGAATTATTTCCAACTTTACAATAATCATTAAAACTGCAAATAATCTGTTGATTTTCCTTTTATTTGATACAGGTTTTAAATTTAGATGTCACAATGAAGATTTTCAGTAGACAAAATAGACGAAGATCTACATTTGAGGTATTTACTTTGCCTACAGGTCTAACACTAGAAAAATTAGCATATACATTTTATTCCCAGAATCAAGGAAACTTGGTCTTTGCAAAAACTGTAAATTACTTGAGAGCAACAATTATGTGTTAGATAATTTTATAGTCTGCAGCGGTGCCAAAGGAAGTGGGGGCAGGGAGCTAGGGAGGTAGAGGTGAGGAAGGGCGAGGAGAATCCATGCCACCAGAACCAGGGAAGTGAATAAGAAATTGCCTCGTGGTAGCCTCTCATAACATTAGTCCCCTCCATGAACATAGACTATCTTTCTGCTTGTTAATTCTCAGAAAAATTTAGCAGTTTTCATTGTGTAGGACTGGCATATCTTATCTTGAATTTCTTATCAAGTATTTTGTGTTTTTCAATGGTAACATAAGTGTTTTTTTAAATTGTCTTTTCACAACTGTTTTTTGCTACTATAGAGAAATAGGATACATTCTTTATACTGATTTTGTAGTCTGTGACTTCGCTAAATTTATTTATTCATTCTAGTATCTTGTTCGTAGATTCCAGGAAAATTTTGAGTTGAAGTATTGAGAATGGGCATCTTTGCTTTGTTTCATATGTTAGGTGAAAGGCTTTGATATTTTACTTAAGTAACTATAGGTTTATTGTAGATTTCTTTCACCAGACTGAAAATGTTCTATTCTATTACTAGTTGCTGCAAATTAAAAAGACATTTTCAGATATTTTATTTTTTTATTTATAGATTCTCATTTGTTTATATATATATATATATAACATTTTATTTTATTTTAGGTAGAGTTTTGCTCTGTTGCCCAGGCTGGAGTGCAAGGGTGTGATCTTGCCCCACTGAAACCTTTGCCTCTCCAGTTCAAGCGATTCTTTTGCCTCAGCCTCCTGTGTAGCTGGGATTACAGATGCACACCGCCACACCCAGCTAATTTTTTGTATTTTAAGTAGAGATGGGGTTTCACCATGTTGGCCAGGCTGGTCTTGAACTCTTGACCTCAGGTGATCTACCCGCCTTGGCCTTCCAAAGTGCTGGGATTACAGGCATGAGCCACTATGCCTGACCTTGTTTATATTTCTAAAAGGTATCTATTTCTCTTCTGAAGCTCCATTTATCTTCATTCATTAGATCCATTTTTTTTTTCTGAAAATCCTTTAATACTTATGACACTTATTTCAATGTGATACTTTCTAATTTAAAAATCTGGATGATCTGTGAGTTTATTTCTATGACTTTCATTCTTGAGTATATATCACATTTTCCTGTTTCTTAACATATCTCATAATGTATCTAACTCTAAATATAGTGTTTGTATCTCAGAGTGGACAGGCCTAGTGGCTAGTGTAAGGGGCTCATTATTCAAATTCCACTGGGGTCATATTGAGCTGGTTTGGGCTACAGCTTTTAGTTTTGTTTTACCATTGGATTCATTTCCAGCAGGGTTCTGGAAGCTTTGTGCCCCAAAATGCATAAGACTGCATAAATTTGGTTCTATACCTTTATTTTACTGAGACTTCTTTCTGCAAAGTTCAAGAAGTTGTGGGAGAAATTGTCAGGCATATTGATTCATTTTTACAACTAGGGCTCTTCCGGATTTCAGTCCTCTTTCCTAGCCCACACAGTTTCTCAAAGCTAGGCTGGTTTCTCCTCATTCCTACAAAGTCTTTCTATCTAGGATAGGCCATTAGCTGCCCACCAATATATAGGCAAGATATGTACCCCCAGGCATGGAAGCTGTCTTAGCTTGCTTCTCCTTCCCATAAAGTTCATTTCTTGCTGAGATTTAGCTCCTCAAGGCTTCCAGGCATCCACACCTGTTGATACTCTGGAGAATATCATATACAGTCAGGCACTGCATAGCCATATTTTGGTCAACAATAGATGGCATAATAACCTATTGAGCTGCTAGTCATATAAAAGTATATGATATACAAGTATGTATAGTACATAATACTTGATAAAGATAATAAATAATGTTACTGATTTATGTATTTACTATACTTTTTATCATTATTTTTAAGTCTATTTCTTCTACTTATCAAAAACATTAACTGTAAAATGGCCTCGGGCAGGTCCTTCAGGAGGTCTTATAGAAGAAGGCATTGATTGTTATCACGGAAGATGACAGCTCTGTGATTGTTATACTCCTTGAAAACATTCCTGTGGCACAGATGCGGAAGTGTAAGACAGTGATATTGATCCTGACCCTGCGTAGGCCTAGGCTAATGTGTATGTTTTTGTCTTCATTAAAAAAAATTTTTTTTAAAATTCTCTTTCTTTTTTCTTGTTTAATAAAGTTAAACAGTAAAACAAAAATTCACAATCTGCCTCCCTGTCCACTCCCCGCCTCCCTCCCCTGCCAGCAGTCTTCGGCATTGGTTCCCTTTGCTTCACCCACTCACAGAGACACAGGGCATCCAACTGGGAAAACAAAACTGCTTTAAGTACACAGAGACACGATGAAGGGAGGAGATGAACTGTTTCCCCATTCAAGATTAAACTGAGCAAATCTGCATTTTCTGGGTTCTGGGTGGTTGCCCCTCATTAGCCAAACTGAAAAAAGAAATTCCCTGGACTAGATGCTTCAAACCTGAAGCCCGCAGGACCGCCAAAGAATGCCTTGAAGATATCATTTGCATCAAAATAACCCATATTCATGCCCTCCTCATCCAGGTCCTGTCCACTGTCATAGCGAGTTTTTTTCTTGGGATCAGAGAGGATGGTAAAGGCTTCTCCAACTTCCTTGAACTTCTTCTCCTCCTCCTTCTTCTCCTCAGCACTGGCTCCACTATGCTGATCTGGATGGTACATGAAGGCCCATTTCTGATAAGCTTTCTTGATCTCGTCCTCAAAGGCATTCTTGTCCACTCCCAGAATCCTGTAGGAATCTTTCCTCCAACTCTTCTTCAGTTCCAGCTGTGCATTTTTTAGGAGCTGTTTGTGTTCTTTTGTTTTTTCCTTGTGATACATTTTTTCATAGTCGTGTACTGCTTCTTCATACTGTTCTGTGTCCATGTAACACTGAGCTCTTCTTAAGTAGGCTTTTATGTAAGTGTTATCAAGCTTCACTGCATTTGTGAAGTCTTCTATTGCATCGTCTGGTTTCCTAAGCTTGGAATTAGCAGTACCCTGATTACAGTAGAGTTTAGCATTTGTTTTTATATTGTTGGGGTCTATCCCCAGGGCTTCTGTGTACAGTTCATATGCTAGTTTGTAATTTCCTTCCTTAAATGCTTTATTTCCATCTTCTTTCTTTGCTTTAGGTGCTTTGGCATTTTTTCGGGCAATGCAGGGGTTGTCTTGGTGCGTGTCCATCCTGCGTGCGTGTGCTGCACATTGAGGTGCGTTTTTGTTTTAATGTTTGTTGTTTCGGGTAGTTTCTTGTCCCTGGGGCGGGTCTGCCTTGGTGGTGGGCTTTCTTTTGCTGTTTTTTGCTTCCTACTGTGTTTCTGGGTGACGCTCCGAGTTTGCAAAACTTTCTGTGTTGCCTATTTTGCTGGGTTTGCCTTTAGTTGCCAGTTCTAGTGTTTGTTTCTTTCTTCACTTATGGTTCCAAAGTGTGGCTTCTCAAACTCTGTTTCTGCTCTTTTCTGCTATTCCATGCCTGCGTTCGTATTTTTTCACTTTTGCTTTTCGTTAGGTCTTTTCTGTTTGGGCTCTATTTCTCTTTGGGCGCTGTGATTTTTTGCCATGGGGTTGCTTAGCTATGTGGTTTTTTCTGCTTGTAGATGTTTCCAGTGTAACCTTTTTTCCGGTCTCCCTGGGTGTTTTTCTTTTCCAGTCTGTTCTGGTGGCTTTCCGTTATTCTGCAGGTGGTTGCTGGCTTCTCATGGTCCGTGGCCTTTTTGGGAGCCTTTTCTACGGCTTTTGTTTCCTTCTTATTAGCTTCTTTGTAATCTTTGTTGGGATCTTGTGCATTTCGTTGTTCTTTGTTGGTGTCTTCCTTTCGTTTCGTGTCTTTGTCGTCGTGCGGCTCTGGCTCTGTGGGCTGTGTTTTCGCATGTCTCTTTGCTTCCTTTGTCCTGTTGCCGGTTTTTTTTTTGCCTTTGTCTTGTTTTTTGTGTTCAAAGTTTCCAAAAGTTGACTTGTTCCCAGGTTCTGTTCTCAGGCTTTCCGCAATTTTTATTTGTCAATTGTATTTATAGACCTGTTTGTTTTTTGTTCCTTTTTAGGCTGTGTTTGTTTTGGGCTACTTTCTTCCACAGTGCCAACTTTTTTCTTTCACTGTTTTTTGTGGTTAAGCCTTTTTTTTGGCTGGCACCTTTTTTGGTTCATTTATTGTGTTGTGCGTGTAGCGTTTGTATGGGTCTGTTGGAGTTGAGTTTGTTGCTGTCGTGGTCCTTTGTCTTGCCTCGTTTCTCATTTGGTTCTTTGGAGCAATTTTGCCTCTTGGTGGCTTCGTGTGTGGTGGTTGCCCTTTATCGGTGTACCATTTTTTCTCTTTTCTCTTGTATTTTTATTTTTTCTTTTCGTTTTTTCTGTATGTTTTGTTTTATATATAGTTCTTGTTGTTTTTATATTGCTTTCCTTCTTTATTTCTGTTCTGTGGTTTTTGGGTGGTGGCGTTTTGTTTTCCTTTAAGTCCCGGGTGTTTCTTATCGCTTGCTTGTGTACTCTGGTGTCGCTTTTCTATTTTGACGGTGCTTGACCGCCTTAGTTTTGCGTTTTTTGGCATTTTTTTTATTTGTTTTTGGTGAGATGTCTGTTTTTTTTTATTCTTTAGTGTTTTTTGTTGGTGTTTGTTTTTTTGCATCTTTCTCTCTCGTGTTTAGGCGCTTCTCTTGCTTCAGCCTTTTTAGTTTATGTTTTTTTTTTTTTTTGTTTTTGTGTCTCTGTTTTGTTTTTTTTGTGCCGGCTGGATTTCTTTGGTGTGATCTTTTTTTTTCTGGTCTTGTGCCTCTTGCGTTTCGGTGTTTGTCGTTCCTCGGTTTTGTGTGTTGGTTTTTTTCTGGGCTTTCACCTCCGTGCCTTTCTTTTTTTGTATTTTTTTTGGCGTCTGGGTTTTTTCTTGTTTTTGCGGTTTGTTTCAGGTTCGTGGCTTCAGGTGCTTTGCCTGCTTCGTCTTTCCCAAGTGTTTTGCTTACCGTCGTTGGCTTCCACGCCGGTTTGTTTTTTTGCTTTTTTTTTTCTCACTGGCCTGACTGCTTTCCTATCCCTGGCCTGTGTTTCTGTTTTCCGGCGGAGGATTTCTGATCATTCTGTTTTGATGGTTTTGATGTTGTTGCTTTTGGGGGTTCTTTCTATTTCTCTGTGGTTTGTTTATATACCCTGTGTGGGATTTTAGGATTGTAAAGGTCTTTTTTCTTGTGTTTCTCAGCCTTTTTCTTTTTGTTTAGTCCCCGTTAGCGGACTCATCGCTTCCTGACGTTTCTGGGTGTAGTGTTTCGTACTATGCTTGTCGTTTTGATTTGATGTGAGGGCTTAGGTGGGTAGAGCGTTGCTTCCTTAGTTTGATGAGGTTCTTGAACTTTTTCTGGTTTCTTTCATGTTTTGGTGGCTTTCGTCTTTACTCCTATTTTTTTGAGCGGGTGATGTTGTTGGTTTTCTTTTGGTTATGGGTTGAGTTCGGTCTTGCGGTTCCAGGTTGTTCCCGTTTGTGCTAGAAATAGGATATGTTCTTTGGGGGTGGTATTCGGGAGGTTTTATCCTCGTTACTTTGCTGGCTTGGGTCGGGGGTTCGTTTTATCCCTGGTGGTTGTGATTGCAGTTCGTGTTGTTTTTGGGACTGCTTTTTATTTTGTGTTTTGGAGTGTTCGTCTGTCTTAGCCTGTTAATAATCACGATGATAATTATCATTCTTGCCTTCTTTTTGCTTTCTTGCTGATTATGTATGCCTTATATCCTTTTTTTTTTTGTGGTGGCCTTTGTTGTCCGTTTTGTTTTTCGTTGCGCAGTATATCAGTTAAGGATTTCGTTTTGGATGTGTTTTCTTTGTCTCTTTTTTTTTACTGTTGTCCTCTTTCTACTGTATCATGTTTTAGCCTCGTCTTTCTCCCCTTCTCTTCGTGGTGGTGATTATTTTTTTCTTTCGTTCTCATATGGCTTTTGCTTCTTTTCTGTTTTTCTTTTTTTACTAGTTTGTCTTTTGTTTTTTTGTTTTTGGTTTGGGTGTTTTTTGTTGCTGGGTGCTTCTTGCTGAATTGTCTTCGTTCCTCGTATTTTTGTACTTCCTGAGAAATTTGGAGTTATGGGTCTCGTTTTCCCTGTTTTTATGTGGCTCTTGTGCTCTTGTATTGCTTAAGTTTTTGGACTTCCTTGTTGGAATGTTTAATTTGGGTTGGCAGTGTCCTGGTTCTTTCCTTTATGCCTCCTTCTGATTGACTCCTTTGTCCTTTCTGGTTTATATTTCGATGCTGTTCTTTTACTAATTTGGTAAGTTCTGCCAGTTCTGTTCCTTTGTTTTTTTTGTTGGGGTTTCGTTGTTTTTGCTGCCTGGTGTTTTTTTGTTCTCTGTTGGTTTGGTTGAACCTGGGCCTTGGCGTTTCGCTGGATTCTGTTGGTTCCTGCTCCTGGGTCTTTGTTGTTAGGTGTGTGTCCGAGCCAATCTTGTCATATCAAAATTAATAATCCTACTCACTATGTAAATTATTTTACATCCGTCAATCTAATTTCTGAGCTTTGTAAGATACACTTATTTTTTTGTTATGTCTTGAACTTTCCCTTTGTCTCTTAAATATCTGTGTATATAAACTCATAAACTCATCAGAATTATATTTTTTAGTACACACCCATTGATTTATGTTAATCTATTCATTGAGCTCCTTCTATGTGCCATACATTGTCCTAAGTCATGGGCACAAAACAGTCACTAAAACAAAGTCTTTGCTTTCACGGAATTTATAGTCTGGTTGCAACTTATAATTTTATAATCTGGCTGTGAAAGCTTTTATACACACAGATATGCATGTACATATATATCTACATATATTCATATATACATGTTTACAAACATATATGTATATGTGTGTGGGTGTATGTTTGGTGATAAGGGGTAATAAAATAAAGTGAGTAAGGGGACAGTTAATTTCCCAGGGGTGTTATTTTAGCTGGAGAGCAAATACCTCTCATATGTAGTAATATTTAAGTAGAGATATAGATTAAGTGAAGGAGTGAGCCAGGGTGATATCAGAAGAAAGAATGTTTTAGACCAAGGGAGGAGCTAGCTTTGTATGGTTGTAGAACTGTGAAGAGGTGATGTGGTAGAAGCACCATGACAAGAAAGTGAGAGAACCTGGCATCTGAGTTGTTGTTAGGAACCAGGTTATATAGGGCTTTGTAGGCCTAGTAAAGACTTTGGACTTTATTCTCTATAAAATGTGCATATACTGGAAGGTTTTGAGTTGATGCAAGACATGATCTTGTTTATGTTTTAAAAAATAGTGCAGGAAAATGCCAGCAAGATGGCTGATTAGAGAGGCCTGGCATTTATCCTTCCAAAAACAAAGGAGTAAGGCAGCAAATACACAGCTAAGGTTTGACTGGAGTGTTGAAGGGCGAGCGCTGGAGTGCAGTGGGGGAGTAGAGAGGTGCCTATGGTGATTGGAAAACCAGAAAAGAAGTGTGGAGATGCCTCACCTCCGTAGCCCCATCTCCCCCAGCGTGGATCAGACCTGACTGGAATCAGAATGGATTCTTGTTGAGGGGAAAAGGCAGGCAGAAGAATTCCCCCAGGCTCTGTTGGCACCACAAATGCCTGTAGTCCTTACAACAGGAGACTCCCACAATCTCCCAGTTTGGAGAGCTTCCAGGAATTCATGCCACTGCATTGCCCTGGATTTGGAGCACAGGTGTGTACTCCTCATACCCTCCTCACTCCCTATGAGGCAAGTTGTTTCAGCATGGTGCCATCTTGGGAACAGAACCACCTCTGGAGTACGCCCTCCTCTGGAGGCCACTAGCCACTGTAATCCCCCAGCTCTGAGGCTCCATTTTTGTTCCTCTAAGCCTGCACCAATGGCTGAACACTACAACCCTGGTAGCATGGAACCTAAGTCCAAGATTGGTTGTGATGCTGGTTCGACACAGGAGGGAAGCCGACTGCTGTTACCTTAACTTCCAGTCAGAGAAACAATCTGGCAGTCCCACCGTGAACCTGCCCTTAAGCTGGCCAAACTGCTGCATACTCTTCCCACCAAGCAAGAGAGGCCTTCAAGCCTCGGAGCAGCTGACATGCTCCCAGGCCAGCAAAGTGGCTACACACCTGCTTCTAGAACCTAAGTAACAACCCTGAGGGCCCCACCCCATGACAGACAAGCCCTTGACCTGCCCAATGGCCCTGAACCTGCAGCCAGAGCCTGAGAAATACCTCCATGGGTTGCCCCTAGCATAAATGGCCCAGG